TATCTTCTTCCCTTCACACCAGGAACTTGTATGGAATGTATAATCGTTTACATCAAATATCTGTCATGTAGTAACACTACGATTAGGCCCAGACAAGATCTAATAAACTATGATCTGTGATTTCATTGATTATATTGTAAACCTATAAAAATAAAGAAGTCTCATTAGTGTAACTTTAAATGTGACGATCATATTAAAACACATGTGATTAGAAGTGTTCATTATATGTACAAATAATTTGAATAATATTAGAAATTCTACTTCGACCTTCCTGCTTATCAGAGACTCATCTTCCATGTCAAAGCTGCGATAAATAATCTGCTCAAAATATTATTATTTATATTTTTGAATTAATCATTATATAATTACTAACATTCTTAATAATAAATGACAATATGTATTGAGTTTGGGGATTGTAAATCTTACTGTATAAATGGATGAACTTCATCACAGTTCATCAGGACGTACAATACAGCTGCCCGAATATCTTTGTCGCTTAGATATTGTGTGTTATGACTCCCTAATGGCTCGCCTGATATTTAATATTTGGATAATTCTAGCTGTGAAAACATTGCACTTACAATATGAACTCTTTGATAGCTTTGCTCGAGATAATATTAGCAGGAAGTTATTTTATCCTACAACAGATATGCCTCGCAGATTGATCTCTCAGGATGTGTTTTTATTTTTAATAATTTTTTTATTTTATTTAAAAACTTGCAGTACATAAATTTTACATGGTGTTTTAGTGTGAAATAAAATGCTACTTGCAATATATGCATCATGAAGACATAACTCTCGAAGGGATACATCCATTTGTACTGCATTGGACCCCAGTATAGCCTCGTAACATATATGTATAGTCAATTGCTCTGTAGAGTCGAAGAAACCATTAGGAAATATTCGCTCAAATTTACATAATAATAGGAGAATACTCGCATCAAGCTATCTCAATGAGTTAACAGTCTGTCCCCGCACATAACTCTCTGAAGAATATGAAGAATATACTGACTTCGATCAAGGGATCGAGCACCGGCTTCAGCAGTGCATGAAATGCAATGGCTAATAAGCACTGCATAAATATATGCTAGTCGTGACTCTTCATGCCAAATACTTTACTCATTCTCAAGTTGAAACTACAGCTTAAATTTGAAACACAGCCACTGAGAATTTTTAGCGAATTCACCCGCTCAAAAATTGTCCTTCGTTGATCTGGTGTAAGATAATACACAAATTTGGCTTTATTAATTTAGATCAATTTGTCTCCTGAAGCTCTAAGGTCCTCCTTTTGCAATACTCTTTCAGATCCATTCTAGCTTTCACATTATCTTTTATCTTACCTCTGATATTCATCACAGTGTTGAAGATGTTATTAAAAAAATTCTTCTCAATGTACATAACATCGATATTATATTTAATAAGATTAGTCTTCCAGTATAGAAGATCTTAGAATATACTTGCTTCGTCCAGTTGTGCATGACACCAGAACCAAGAAGACGAGTTGAAGCTAGCTCTGATTCCTCGGTGATCTTTGACACTTCATTGATCATCGCAAATATTTCGACTCCAATAATCATGGGGAGTGGACTTGATTTCTCAACCTTGTTTTTGAAGAATGCATCTCTGTTCCTTCTAAATGAGTGATTGCGGTTTAAAAATTTTCGGTGGCAGTCAAATCAATTATTTTTCCTACTATGTTTCAAAAGTAAATGCCTTTAAAATATCCATGCAGTAACGACAAGCTAATTTCTAGGTTGTGCTACATCCTATAGGCCGATAATTTATTAATAGTCCACATGAGAGTCGCTCTCAGTTGAAAATTCTGCTTTGTAGCAATGCCATACGTAAGCACACCTGACTCCCATAATATTGGAAGCTCTTCAATCAATGTCTGTAAGTAGACATCAATTTTCTCGTTCGGGCAATGTGGACTTGGTATGATCAACATAAGAAATAAAAATAGTACAGTCATGCACATATCTCGAGGCAACTTGTATGGCGTAATAATCACTAACCAGCATGAGGACGGGGTTACATCGTGACTGTATGGGATAAAATCATCCACACACAACACAAGTCTAATATTGTGTACTTCAGCTGAAAAATCCGGGAAGCCTCACCATGTGAAAGATGACTCATCGAGTTAGGATCAACAGATCCAATATTGTGTCAAGTCATGTGTAGGGTTGTACGCATGGAAGCAAATAATCTCTGAATTTGGGGCATGAGCGGAAAATAAAAGAGGCGCTTGTATGGAGTATTTTTTTATTTTTATTCTTTCTCCTCTTTTGTTTGAATCTATTCGCACCACAAAATCGGTAATTCGTTTCGATTGCATCAGTCTTGTAATATATCATGCACTCATGAACACAACAATCAATCTTCTAACATTATAACCCTAACTTTGAAGTCAATTTTTTTGTTATGTGCAGGTCATCCAACAATAAATTCCCTTCAAGGTTAGTCTCTTTCAATAAAGTTGACATCTAATTGAATGCTTCTCAGGGCATGTTAAAATCAGATTTGATGGTCAACTTTCTCAGTGTCACTGATAACTCTGTATGTGTAGTGCAACCATCAGATAAAGGTTGTTGTGCAACATTCTGTAAGTCATAGAACTGTTGCGATTCATTGTTCGGTGTTTCAGGTTTTTGTTGAACCCTCCCATTAAATTGAGCTCTTGGAACATCGTGAACCATTTCTGCATGTGGCAGGATTAAATTCCTCTGTAGGAAGGCATAACCTGTCGAGACACCTTGATCGAACTGAACTTCAGGTTCTTGTTCACTATGTGCAGTTTAGTACCAATAATTAAGTTTGATTCCCTTGCAGTAAATATTTAACTTAACTTCTTTGGGTGGCAGAAGTGCTCGATTTTTGTGCTTTGCACAAGGATACTGGAACTTATCCTCATAACGATAGATGGATAGTTGTGATGTCATCCGTACGAATTCTTTAACGTCATTTTAAAACTCATCTGTGAGTCTTTTTTGTTTTGGATATAATCTGTTATACATCTAACTCTCAAATTACGAATATTCATCTGCAGTATAGATGTAGTTTTACAAATCAGTGCAACTACTGCTGAAATAAACATTAATTAGCCCTTACTTATCAATGTGTAGTGGTTCGTAGGAGCTAATTCTAATCGATGAAAACGGCCCTAGGAACTTTTAAGTAGCTCGCTATATCCGGTGAAGTCAACACTATTTGGTCAACCATATATAAGGCACTTCTTTGAAGTGTTTTATTTTTTAAACAATAGAATCGATGCATTTCTTCATTTCAACCAACCAACGTGAATTCTACTAATAACATTCCCATTTACATCACCGTCACTGAACAAAACCATATGCACTCCTTCAGCTCAATCAACCAACTTTAATTCTACCAGTAGCATCCCTATCAATATCACCATCACTTTCAACAATAGACTAAATCGATGCATGCATTCCTCCCCTTCACTAACTAACTCTAATTCTACTAATAACAATATCCCTATATCACCATCAATTTTTACAAGCCTACCAATGAACTCTTGTGTATATAAATACCTAACACTAAAACTTCAATTTTTACAAATATACCATATTGCCTTTATATGAATTTCATATATATCACTCAATTCTTCTTATGTATGTACACACATAATACCTAAACTTCAATGTTTACATACATACCATTGAACTCTTATGTATACACATACCTAACACCAAAACTTTAATTTATACATGCATACCACATTACTTTTGCATTTAATTAATACATGTCACTCAATTAATATGTATATACAAACCTAACACCTAAACGTCAATATTTATATGCATACCATAGAACTCTTATGTATATACATACCTAACACCAGAACTTCAATTTATACATAAATACCACATTACTTATGCTTTTAAATAATACATATCACTTCTTATGTTTTTCAAACCTGACATCTAAACTTCAATATTTACATACATACCTAACACCAAAACTTCAATTTATACATACATACCACATTACCTATGGATTTATTCATAAATATCCCTCAATTCCTATGTATATACAAACCTAACACCTAAACTTCAATATTTACATGCATATTACAAATAAATGAAAATAGTGGCACAAATAGACTCGCCTTCTTCAATGCTTTCTGATCAGAGCGATTTCGGTTGTCTTTGCAAGCTCGAAGTGTCGGACGTCATTACCTTCGCAGCTAGCTCTAATGGCGACTGCATCACGAAGCTTCGTTCGGGAAGGAGTCGATTTTGAGCAAAATTGAAAAGGAGAAGGGAACTAAAGAGGGAAAAGGGAGAGGGGGGAGCTCGGGATAGTTTCGGGTAGAAAAGGAGACCAGAGAGCTGCGCGCGGGACGGGGGAGAGAAAAAATGAAATTTAGGTGCGCCGGTTGAGTTTATTAGGTCATTTACGTCGGATTTCCGTCTAATTTGTAACAAAATGATCCACCAGCAAATCTTTTGAAGCTACAAGCCACGTAAAACTGCATAATATTAAAATTTTGTAATTTATTTTCCTTATATATTTAAACTAATACGTGTTATTAGGATTTGCATAATATTAAATTATTGTAGATTATTTACGAGTGTAGGATTCAATAATCACAATCCCTAAATATACAACAATTTTCCTAAGATGCAAATCAATAACTGCTAGATTAGAACCAAAATAATAATGTAATGACTGAATAAATATGAAAAATATGCGCCTCAGATTATTTTTCTGTTTGAGCTTCCCTAGGCTCAAAATTCACTAGAAATTTAATATTTTGAATTTATTTCAAATTGACTCAAAACCCAAGTTAGTTTCTAGCAAAATTGCTTCACGTAGATGTCTTGCATGAGAAGTGCTCACCAGTCTTACATTGTTCTGTTAATCCTCTAGATTTTGGCATAAAAATTTTATAAATAATACCAAAATCTTATGCTCATTTTCAAATTCAAATCGCACATTTGTTTCTCATCACTGGAGTTCTTCTCTTTTGGCAGATTGCTATGCATATCCTCGAAGCAATAATTCGAGACAACTCCGGAATCTCTTACATTTGTGATTCGTCCTGCAATCTACTGATAGGACTGATGAACACATGGGATAACTTGGTATCTCTGCCATGTTGGCTTGGCTTATATCAACATGTTTTGCTATATTAGAACCTTTTTTTTTTTTGTTTTTTTTAATATAATTAAAATCTTTTCTCTCATTGTGCTCTTTGCATGGAGGTCAATCTTCTTGCTGTTGACCAAGACTTTTCTCCTCGTCTACTCTTCCACATCATCAGATGCTACATTATGCTCTGCTCCAATGAGAGGTATCCTATCTTTAAACTTGCGTTGAATTGCAAGGTTGAAGATTTAATAATATTTTAATATTACTTGTATATTTGATTTAATAATCATATTTATAATAGTCTTTAAAAATTTTAAAAAAATTGAAGTTATAAAATTAAATACGAGCCTTCCCTTTAAGTATTTATTTTTTTATCCTTCATTTTAAGTTTTGGTTTCACCATTTGCATCTATTCTTTGCTCCTTCAGGGGAGGGGATGCGCCCCTGTAGTGCAAAGATTTCCTGCTGCTCTCACTAATGGTTCCTTCTGTGACATGATAGAGGTAAGTTGATCTAAATTTTGAACTGGCACGTGTGAATAATATCTGATTCCTTAAAAAAAAGGATGATTTACATATATACCACTCAATTCCTATGCATTTACATACCTGAAACATAAGGTTCAACTTTTACATACATCCCATCTTTCCTATGCATGAAATGGTGTATTTAACTTTTTAAAATTTAAAAGGTGTTACTTTTGATGAGATATGAAATATTTTGGTGGTATAAATGTAAAAAGGCAAAGTTTTGGTGTTATGTATGTAAATACATAGGGATTATGTGGTATGTATCTCAATGGCCCCTACAAAATTGTTCTGAATATTCTTCAATTTAGGAGTTCCCAATAATTGGGGGATTGTTCATTCAGCTTCTCCTCTACGTTGACAAAGTGAATGAAGAAATCCTTCCGGGAAGAAGAGTGTGTATGCTCCTGCAGGAGTATGCAAGCATGAATGATCTCTGCTCGCCTGATTCTGCTCCCAATCCGACAACACCTTGCAGGCCTATGGATCTTGGAACAATTTCTGTCTAAAAATCTATTACAGAAAAGCTTTTAATTGAGTTCCCAACAGATATCATAAATACTATAATTCATTTTTTTTTAATCTAATGATAATTCATGTGTATCCACATGCTTATTGATATGTTTTCTTAACATTTTTTAGGAAAATTTACATATATACCACACAATTCTTGTGCACTTGCATGTCTAACACCTAATGTTTGATATTTTACATTTATAACCCTTTGGTGTTAAACCTATGCATGAAAAGGTGTATTGGATGTTAAAGATTTGACTGTTATGTTAGTAAATATGAAAATTTAAGTGTTGGTTATGTAAATATGTAAGAATTGAGTGGCATGTAAGTAAATGCCCCCATTATTGTTATTATTATTTACAATGATATGAAGCCAAACTATGCTTTTGCATGTAGAGAACCTATGCTGTCCTCCCAAAGTCAAATGATTAATGTCTGCTTGAGAAATCAAGAATTACAAAATATAATGCCCATATTTACATGGTTTGACTAAAGTAAGCTTATATTTATGGTCACATAAAGATCAAAGAGTCCATCAAGATGCCTTCTACTTCATTATTTTAAAAATAGAAGATTGAAAATTATTCAAATTAATTAATGAAATTAAACTCTATACCTTACAAATTTTAAACTTTTAGCTTTATAATTAGCTTTGAATACTTTATGAAACACATTCATATCATCTAACAAAAATGTTAATTAAGGCTTTATGATACCTTAGTCTATGAGTAGCATTTGTAAAAGATTGCTTTATTGTTGTTTTACTCTTTTTATATATGTATATTTTGTCTATTATACAATGTTTTATTTTACACCTCTTCTCGGAACAATCACAATTATTGATTGAGGCTTTATAATACCTCAATCCACAATTGTTGATCGAATCACGAACAATCACATTAGCGATAAATTTGTAAGAAATTTCTTTATTATTGTATTACTCTTTTATTTTATTTTTTTGTCTATTGTACAATGTTTATTTGCCTTTGGAAAGCTCTCACTTTATAAACAATATATTTTCCATTTCCCTTCCCAAATCTCTAATGCATCTCTATGTGGGTGTGTGTGTAAACTCTAAGAAAATTTAAATATAATAAATTCTTCTTAAAATTAAGTACATACTTAACTTGAACCGAAAAGATAATTGCAATAGTATGCCTTAAACTTTGTAATGCCTAATCTTGCACATAGCTTTGTTTCCCATATAAATATAACTACCATAATTTAAAAATAACATGTGGAAAAAATTCTAAATTTAAAAATATATTTTATTGGAGAGGTATCTGGTTATACACAAAGACTCTAACTCAAGAAACAACATTTATAAATAATTCCTCCAAGATCATTATCAAGGTCTCATCTTCCAAAATTATTAGATCATTATAAGAGCTTTTTCATCTATCTTTATCTATTCTTTTTCACTTGTAATTTTAAGCATCTTTGTAGCTTCTATGATTGTTCTATAAGCCTTTGTGGGACAAGTACCTCATGCATCATGTCTTTTTAAACACCAAAATTTTTTATTCTATTAAACTTTTCAATTTCAAATCTTATGGCTATCATATTTTTATAATTTTGCTCAAATACAAATTATTAGTAAAGAGAGTGCCTTACACTAAGATTAAATATGATGAACTCTAAAGAAGATGCAAAAGAGAGACCAAGAACTATAAAAGAGATAACCAAAATTTATGCATTTTTGCTTACATATGTCTACATCCATGCTTGCACAACAGTCAAATCATCTTCTAAAATTTAAAAGATATATATATATATATATGAATAAGTATACATCTTGCAAGATTAAAGATACAAACAAATATGTATTATTGCCTAATTTTGAGAGAAAATACTATTACCTATTGCAAATATAAGGGTCAAACCTTTCTTTTTGAAGAAGCCAAAAAAATTCACTTGGAAGCATTCAAAATACTTCTTTATTTCTTATAGTTCCACCCATTTCCCTTCATCTTTCACTCATCATTTTTTTTTCTTACTTTTTTTTCTTTCTTGTGGTTACTATATTAGTGAGCATTATATATGTTCATATAGTGAAGTGTTAACCACCATTGAGAGACTATTTAGCCTTCATTTTAAAATGTTGTAGTAACTTCTTTTTTGGACATTATGTTAATCATCTTTTGAATTTTTGATAGCCTTCACTTAAGATTTTGTGCTAGCTTCCGTTGTTGAAAAATAAAGATTAAATTTAATAAGATAATTAATATTTACACTTAGCATCTAATAGTAAAATAAATAAAATTATTTGTTTAGTATTAGAGTTTTTAATAATGTAAGATGGTAGAGATTCATAAATTCAAAGGGTTAAATCTTAATCTTTAGGCTATAGTTTTTATTTGAAAGTGTTCATTTTACTATTGATCAATTGACTACAATTTCAGCTCATATAACATACAAAATGGAAAGCTCATTGTTAACGTCATAAATTTAGTTTTGTAGCTCTTAATAGTTTTGAGTTTTAAAGTGCTCATTAGTTTCCAATGCCATTATCAAGATTGCATGCATTTCAAATTACTTTAAGTTTATTAAGAGTAGATAACTCACTTAAAAACAAATAAATCATTGAAGAATGTTCATTTATTGGAAGGAGTTTGTATTAGCACATTTAAGAACATAACTTTATTTTTCCTAGGCAAGAAAGATAATTTATTTTAAGAATTCATTCAAAAAAAAAAGAAAAACTATCATATTGATTAACTTAAATATCACAAAAAGTCTTCTCAACTATTACAAAAGACTAATGAAGAAGAATTTTAACTTAGATTCTTTGAGAGCAAAAAAATTGTTTTATTCAATTCAAACAAAATATCCTAAATCAAAGAAAAGAAAAAGAAAAATATAGTACTTTACATACATGCTGATAGAGAGCACGCATTTGATGTAATATGAGGTCTTTCTTTCATGATCTCTTGTCTCTTGGTACTCATTGGATTTCATGGTAACCAATCATCATGATTGGGAGTTATTACTTTCAAAATAGAAGTCACATATTCTTTACATAATTTCATAGCACAATGAGCATGTTGTTCCTAGAGACCATCATTTTAATATCTTTAAGTTTTCTCGGAGAATGCATCAAAATTCAAGAATCTATGAGCACCATAGCAAAAGGATACCTAGGGTTTTCATAGTAAATTACCCATCTTTAACTATTTAATGCATTGTTTACTCAATAATCAAAGCTATTTTAAATTTTTGGGATAAATTCTTTTATGTGTTTCAAGAATAATAAGGTCTTTTAACAAGACTTATTATTTTGAAGGTTTCCTATTTAAGGGTGACATTATAAGTCCCACTTAATTGAATTTATGGTTAGTGCACCCCTTAGAATGATTTTTTTTTTAATATTGGTTCAACTCTAACAAAATTTAATTTGTGATTAATAGACACATAATTAATACGAAACATTAAGATGGGATTTGCAAGGGTCAATGGGGCTTCCTAGATAGCTTCATTCTTATAATATTAAAAGCTCATATATTTGGCCAACCGACTTATACAATTTGTTAATTGAATGTCTTGACAAATCAATATTATAATAAGAATTGCTCACAAAAAGAAGATAAAAATATATATTAGAAATAAAGCACGATGAATGAATGCCTTGAAAATATAAAAAGAAGTTTCAAAATGATGGGAAAATATAATCTTTAAAATTCATTTAATTCTCACAAGTTATCTCAATTGCACATGATGACAAAGGCTCTCAAGAAATACATTTCTCAAAGTCTCTAAAAAAATTCCTTACATTCATTCTCAAACGTTTCAACAGCGTTTAATAGTTACAAATCATTGTGTGATATCTTAAATGTTATCTTTAATGGCATTTAAGGTTTAAAAGATGTTGTCTTTAAGAACTGGTTTATATTGTTTAGAATTTGTATTTCTAATATAGAAACTTATTATACTCTTTTGTTATCATATAGTGAATATATTTACTTAGCAATAGGTAGGGCAGCAAGTGTCGAAGGAGGTGTGGAAAAAGGCATTAGCAAAAGAAAATGCCCTCCTTTTCCTGCTCCTATAGGTGTTCTCTAATGTTCCCCCAACATGGGGTCTCTTAGGTGGCTGACCACCTGCACCGTCTGTGGCCACCTGTAAACAAGAGAATGACATTAAAACTGACAGCAAAAATAATAATGAGAAAAAATAAAAGCAAACAATAGAAGGTGAAAAAAAATGGAAAAGTAAGACATGAGTAGCAGTTATGTCTAAATTTAAAACAACAAAACTAAAAGAAGAAAAATAACAGTAACCACTAATCCAAAATTACATACAATTTTATTAATTTTATAAGAGGAACTTGTCGTCGAAGATGAAACTAAAATTTCTTCTTCAATTTCCTCATCATTCTCAACCATAACATGAGGAACCTCTTCAAAAATCCTCGTGATATCTTCTAGCATAAACACTTAATCGTTTGTGCTGCCCTTAATGTGAAAACATGACATACCTTTCTCCAGGTGAGTTGGTTTTATAATAATATGCAACTCAATACTTTTCCTTAGTTTATAGTTCATAACCACAACCCAATCAACTTTTTCCCTTACTCTACCAGGATATTAAAGGAAATAAACTTGCTTCGCTTTACGTGCTAGAGCAAATGGATCAAAATTCCATATTGTGTGTTCATTTTTACTTTGATGATATCATAAGGCGTAAGTGTTTGGGTTCCTCGATTCGAAACAAGATCAAACCACTGACAGTTGAACAAGTACACAATGTAGTTATCATTGCCTAGTTTTTACAATTGAATGACTTCGTCAAGTGCTTTGTAATAGTTAATCTCGTTGTCTATGTGTGTGTTTCTCTTAACAACGAAACCACAGTTATATGTCTTCTTTCTTTAACACCAGAAACTCATATAGAATCTAGAACCGTTTACGTCTAATATTCGTCATGTAGTAACACTATGATTAGGCCCCTAGGCAAGATCAAGTAATCTATGTTATGTGATTTCATTGCTTGTATCATGTAACTATAACAATTTTAAAGTCATTATTAGTCTAACTTCAAACATGATGGTTATATTACGTACATGTGAGGAATTGTACACATAGAAGAGAACAACCTCTAAAGCCCAAGTATGAGGGAAAAATAGAAGAGATGCTTGTATGTAATAT